TAACCAGCCACTCCAGTGAGCACTGTTATAGATGTTATAGGGCATTTCAAAGAAATTAGGTCAAGTCTGAGATTAGATACCCCAGGAATGGCAAAGCCAGGTTTTGTACTGGATTCATCTAAGTATAAATGTTTCCTAGTTTCCTAGTAGTGTGCTTTTTTAAGCTATAGTGTAGCAGTTCTCTTTTCCACTGAAACACAGAAAAGGAGCCAGAAGACATCACCTTTAAAAAAAACAACTTTGCTTTAATCCCTTTAGTTCGGTAATTCGATGCTGTTCTGCATTTCCTTACTGTGTTAGCCACTGTTGTTCAGCTGACACAGCTGGAGTCATCTGAGAAGAGGAACCTTGTGGGAGTTTGAATAAGAATGGCTCCAACCAGCTCATAGATTTGAATGTTTGGTCACCAGGGAGTGGTACTGTTTGAAGGGATTAGGAGGTGTGGTCTTGCTGGAGGAAGTGTGTCACTGAAGGTGGGCTTTATGGTTTCAGAAGCCCAAGCCAGGCCTAGTGGCTCTCTCTCGTCCTGATGCCTGTGGGCCCTGATGTAGAACTCTCAGCTCTTTCTCCAGGACTGTGCCAGCCTGCATGCTACCAGGCTTCCAGCCATGCTGACAATGGATTAAACCTCTCCACCTGTAAGCAAGCCCCAATGAAATATTTTCCTTTATAAGAATTGCTGGGGTTATGGTGTCTCTTCACAGCAACAGAAACCCTAACTAAGACAAACTTCAACTGAAAAAAATGCCTCCATTAGATGCCCTGCAGAAAATCCTGTCGGGCATTTTCTTGATTAGTGATTGACATGGGAGGACCCAGCCCACTGTGGATTTTGTTACTCTTGGGCAGGTGGTAATAAGAAAGCAGGTGGAAGAAGCAATTAAGAAGCATCCTTTCGTGGCCTCTACTTAAGTTCCTGCCTTCAGGTTCCTTGAGTTTCTGCCCTGACTTTCCTCAGTGATAGACTGTAATTGGGTGTGAAAGACAAAACGTAAACCTTTCTCCGCAAGATGCTTTGGTCCTGGTATTTTATCTCAGCAAAAAAAAAAAAAAAAAAAAAAAAAAAAAAAAAAAGGAAATTAAGACACTTCACATCCTAGATCTTCTTGTAACTAAATAATGAATATCCAGCTGAATGGAAGGACTCTAGCAACCCAGACTAATGCAGGTTCTACTGTGATTTATGGATGCCAAACTCCCAAGAGTTATTAAATGTTCCAGCTTCCATCCTTATATACAACTGAGAGTCAGCACAGACATAGGAAAAGGCTTAGGAAACTCACAGTCTAAAGGGTGACACGAGAAACTATGTTTAAATTTGAAAGCAGAACAGTGCTGCTCTAATGACTATTGTTGATCAAACTATTGCCTTGTAGTATATTTCTCCCTGTCCCTAGGTTTGGTGATGACTTGGATCTGAAATGCCCCGCTCAAAGCTCATGAGTTGACACCTTGATCCCTTATAAAGGGAGGGGACTTGGGGAGGTGACTGGATCAAGAGGGTTCTACTTTAACAATGGATTAATCTATTCAAAGGTTTATAACTTAATGGTGGTAGAAACTTAAAAAAGTTGGGGCCTAATTGGAAGAAGTTAGTTACTGGGGGTATGCCTCAGGATATTTTGTCCCTGTGTGTACTGGCTAGTTTTTTGTCAATTTGATACAAGCTAGAATCATCAGAGAGGAGGGAACTTCAATTGAGAAAATGTCTCCATAAGATCAGGCTGCAGTCAAGCCTATAGGGCATTTTCTTTTTTTTTTAAAGGAATATAAAACTATTTATTGACCACTATTCACCATTATTTACAATAAAGTAAATATACAGTTGGATAACATTCTGATACTACAAAGTTACTTTTCTGGCTCATTGAACCAGAACCCAAATACTGAAAAGATTGATCCTACCAGTAAGGAATGAGTCAGGGTACAGAAAAAGCATGCAAGTCATTAGTTTATATTACCAAATTTTGTGGCATTTTCTTAATTAGTGATTGATATGGGAGGATCCAGACCATTATGAGTAGTGCCATCCCTGGGCTGGTGGTCCTAGAATCTATAAGAAAGCAGGCTAAGCAAGCCATGGGGAGCAAGTCTGTAAGCAGCACCTCTCCATGGCCTCTACATCAGCTCCTGCCTCCAGGTTCCTGCCCACCTAGAGTTCTTGCCCTCACTGCTTTTGATAATGAACTGTTATATGGAACTGTGAATGAAATAAGCCCTTTCCTCCCCAAGTTACCTTGGGTCATGATGTTTCATCACAGCAATAGTAACGCTAACTAAGACACTGTGCCTGCACACCTCCATCTCTACCTCCCTAAGCCTACTGACTGTCAGGAGTTGAACAACCCGACTTGACCATGCATCCCCTACCAGAATAGTCTACCTTATTACACACCTAAAGTAATGGAGCCAGCTGATCACTGCCTGGCATCTCTGAAACCATAGCAGAAAATAAGCTTGATGTATGTCAGATATCTCGATGGAAAGCTGATTAACCCAGTGTCTAAACCTCAGCCCCTCTTCCCCCAGCCAAGAAAGACCTCTGGTGCATTTGTTACTAACAGGGTACACACACATTTTCTAAACTGGAGAATATTTCAAGTGGAAGTCTAACTTGGAAAAGCAACATCAAACCTGTAAGATTCAAGCCACCCTGCCTGAGGAAGAGAGAAGAACCTAAAAGGGGGAAAAGAAATCCAGATCCCAGAGGGCAGGGATTGCTGACCTGCAGAACCTTAAGAAACTATTCCCATTGGAAAATCGAGAGGCATGGAAATATGTTTTATTTTTACACATATCCACATAGGTAATGTGTAAATATATATTTAAATATATTTTAGTACATAGTTTCAGGAAAAGAGCTTCCTTTCTGGGTAGTGGTACCTGTCAAAAGCCCCAGAACACTTGTAGGAAATAGAAATTGATCATAAGGAAATAGTCCTAAATGTTGAGGGGCAAAAATAAATACTATTCCAGAGCCGGGCAGTGGTGGCGCACGCCTTTAATCCCAGCACTCGGGAGGCAGAGCCAGGCGGATCTCTGTGAGTTCGAGGTCAGCCTGGGCTACCAAGTGAGTTCCAGGAAAGGCGCAAAGCTACACAGAGAAACCCTGTCTCGAAAAACCAAAAAAAAAAAAAAATACTATTCCAAATATGAAAACAAAGTCAACATTCAATAATTAGAAAATGATCAAACTCAGGCATACCCTTGATATGACAACCACTTAAAGCATATCTCGTAAGACTTTCAAGCAGCATGGGTAAACCATAAGGAAAGAAGGTTGTAAAATCTAGCATGATTGCTTTAAAAAAAATCCTCATGAAAACAAGTCTCAAACAGTGAAAAAGAAAAGAAAATGTATTAATGTGTCACAGTGCTGTCTTTGTGCTGAGACAATGAGTTGACCCCATTCCCCCAGCACCTCTGTGCTTCACATAGTTTTCCAGGACTATGTATGATCCTTGTAATTGTAATAAATTAAGCAGACATAATTTCATTCACATAGAAGGAAAAAAATCGGGATTACATGGTTTGTCATATTTCCAACAAAACAAAACTACAATCATGAAAAGAAAAAGAAGCAGCCTTTCAAAGTCCATTCACTGTTCTCCAGGCTGCCTGTGGTTTGCAGCCTGCAGTTTGAATCCTACGCAGATTAAAATAATTTGCCAATAGATGTCACTGTTGCACTTAAGCTGAGCTCATCCCAGCTTTGAATTTGCAAGGAAGGAGTCCAAGCAAGAGACTGTACAGATCTGTGCATCAACTGTTAGTTTGTTCCCTTTTGACTTTATTCTGAATCTCGCTCTCTGTTTGTCTTCCTCCTTCCCTTTTTCCCTCCCTCCCCCTTTGTGTGTGTGTGTGTGTGTGTGTGTGTGTGTGTGTGTGTGTGTGTGTGTGTGTGTGTGAAAGAGAGAGGGGGGATTGCTTGCATGTACCTGTGGAGGCCAGAAGAATGTTAGAAACACTGAAGCTGGAGTTAGGATGTAGTGAGCTACCCTGTGGGTACTAGGAACTGAACCCAGCTCCTCTGCAAGAGCAGCAAGTGCTCTTAACCACTGAGACAGCTCTCCAAACCCTCAAACCTCTTTCTATGAAAATGCTTTTCTTCTTTATGCCAAATGTTTTTCTGAAATGACTACAGTGACTATTATTGTATAGTTATGGAAAGCAAAAAGTTCTATTCAATGGTTACCACTCATCTAAAAATGGCAGATCTAACACATCCCTACAATTATCCAGTGCTACCTAGATGATTGTAGGCCTAACCCACACTCACCATACACCTATTTTCAGATCAGAATACAATGAAGCAGAGAACAAGAGATTGTCAACAGGAATCAAAATAGAAAAAGCCACAGGGAACCATGAGGAAGAGAGGGCAGTAAAAAATGGAATGGATGGTTTGGTCAACTCTAAACCTGCCATCTAAATCTGGAAGTGGCAAAGCCTGCCCAATGCTTTGTACTGGGGAGTCAGTGCTTCTGTGTCAATGGATATGTGAAAGAATGAGAAAGGAGAAGCCTAGGTTTTTAAGTGGGTCATCCTGTATTTGGCAGATTTCCCACCAACTTGTTGGGCTGTTATTTGAGCAGCTGGCGAGAAAGGAAGGTTTATAGATGTGCAATGAAGACAGGTGACTTGGGTTTCACTGGAAAATGCAGAGCAAATCTGTCAGCTAGCATATGTTATTCATAAATTTTTAGTACAATGATATTAAGTGACTAGCAGCAAATGGGCTTCTTCCCACAGGGAGGTTTAGGCATCAGAGCTAATGAGACAGAGTGCTCTGAAAAGAAACTATTGACCCAGTCACCTTGCAGTGCACAGATTTCAGATGGCCTTGGTTTGCTGCAGCCCATTGATTTTTTTCAAATAATGACCCACATATAAAATACAGTTTCAGCAACTTTATATATACAATTTACACTAAGCACATATTAAATGAGCCTCTGCTGACCACAAAGAACCACAGATTAAACAGGAAGATTTCTACTTACATTGAGATCCAAGTACAATTCGCTTCTGCTTGACTTTTCTCTTTCTTCATGGAGCAGAAATGGACAGGGTGGTCCAGCTCTGTAACCCAGGACCCAAGCACCTCCATCCTTATTGGGAAGGTCTTTAGCTGTCTGCTCATTGATGCTGTCACAGGGAAAGCCTTCAGAGGTGACACCTAAGTAAACACAGGGAAGAGTGTCAATGACACAGCAGGCTGATGAAAGACAATGGAGTCAGCAAGCTTAGGGCTTCTACAAGGCAGTCTCCATATTCTGACTTCACTTTCTTTTTAGAGTTTATTGTCCTTGAAAAGGGCTTTCCCAATTACTCTTTTGGGGGTCTCAGGCATATACCCTCATCTCTAAAAGGCTGGTCTACTAGCTCTTCGTTATGGAGACACAGACATGTTTGCCAGCCCAGGTTTGTGCCTATTCACAATAGAATCAGGGAAGGGGCAGGGGAATAGAGGCATGGGTTCTTAGCACCTCTCCTCCATGGTGTCACACCCAAGCCAAGTCACAATGTATTTGTTCGTCTGGGCCTGCGGCTGTGCCTTATTTCCAGGGACAGAATCTTCATGCACTGTGCACACTGGCATGTGTTAGTTTGATGATGAGGGAATGTAGCATGAATAACCCATTTGGGACTGATGTTTGTCATCTCCAGAATATTCAGCTAACTTACTCTTACCTAAACTATGTCAGGATGACAGTAGGGCTGTCTTCAAATTTCAACATAACCTAGAGTCAGGAAACACCAGTGTTCCCGTTTTAAGGGGGAAAACTAAAGTACAGAGAAGGTAAGCGACAGTCTCACGTTCATAAGATTGGTAAAGGAGATGCAATGGTTTGAAGCCAGGCAGCTGAACACCTGCGGCTATGCTCTCAGAAACTATGTACATGCCTGACATTCTTTTGAGTGGCAACACAAGTTCTGTGATAAAAGGATGACATGGTCAGAAAAGCTACATGCTCCATCCCTGGGTACACCACAGTTTATGTCAGTTTACTGAAGAACTTGAGATGCCCCTTAGTGAAAAAAAAAAAAAAAAAAACCCTAAACCTATCAAATGGGAGTTCCTCAGACTTATTTCGTCATGGGATCCATTTAAACATCTGCTGAGCAAAACAGGTTGTAAACCATTAGTGCTCTACTGGAATGCAGTTTGGGAAATACTAGATTGGATCAATGACAGACAAGCCTCTCGAGGCACGGGCATTCCTGGTCCGCTCTAAATTCCTGGTAAGCAGCCTCAGCAAAACCTGGAGCAACCAAGTGGATGCACAGTCTTAGGCCTAGTGTCTTTTTGCAAAGGGGATCACTGGATATGTGATAGGGTGTTTATTATACATAATCCCTGTAAGAGAGGAGCTCTGGCAGTGATCCAAAGCCAGCTGATGGTCTCTGCCAGCTGAAAACCTGACTCACAAGCAACCTGAGCTGAGAATAACTCAGCACACAAAGGGCTGCAAGGCAGCATGCTTCTCTCAGATGAGAGTAGCATTTTCAGAGTCAGAAAAGTTGAGAACACTTAAAGTTTTGAGTTTTGTTTGCTTGTTCAGTTTGGTTCGTTGAGTTTTAATCACCCTTCAAGTGAAAATGACAAAGGTCACAATGTTTCTACAGTTGCCCTCTGAAGGCTGTCCAAAAAACACTTTCAGTCACTAGGGAAAAAAAAAAAAAAAAGAGTCCAGGACATTAGGAGTTCACTGTGATCTCTGCAAATGTAGGGTGTCTGTCTGGAAAGTGAACTCGGGTACTTTCTTCACAAGGACACAGTGCCTCAAGATGAGCCTCTGTCCACTTGAGGTCCTTGATATCTGCTATCAGCAGAAGATACAGCTAGCTGTTCACCTCAGCTTTGACTTAGCGAGTCATGTATTGTGGTGTCCCTAACTCCTGTTCTCAAGAAGCAGGGGGAAAGGCTAATGCCTAAAAGAACTTCAAAGCACCTCCACATGCAGTCTGGAAAGGAAATCACTGTTGTGAAGACCTGAAGCTCATGTGGCTTTAGTGGCTGTGGGATGGCTCATCCTTCCTCCTAGAACATTCTGTCTCTGTTGTTAAGAAAGGAGGAAACCTCCGGAGGACTCACATCATACCCTTGTAAACCTATGGAGTGCTCTCACCATGCTGTCTCACTTCTCAGGTCTATAATCACTAACCAGACCCCTCACTTAGATCGATCCCTACAGTCTGCACTTTGGCTATGAAGTAAATGCTGGCTTTGGATGAAGGTTACATGGATTACCATAACTATATACACATAATATATATCACAAAATGCATTGTACAGCACCTCAGGTAAGACATTCATATTATCAAAGCATATTGTCTGGTGAGACTAAGTTTATTATTACAGTATGAATAGTGGTATCAAAGAGTGGTGAATTCACACAATAGCAAAGGCTTGTGTTCTCAGCTAAAACACACCTGTGTGTCTATACATGTGAACACACATGCAAACACACTCACATACCTGCAGTGTCTAGCCAACACCACATTAATGAGGTGAGGCATGCAATCCAGTTCACTCTTTATACAGAGGAAAACCAAGAGAAAGCTTAAGCAGAAGCAATAAAAATTAATTTAATTCTGGAGTTGATTTTCATTTTTGTTTGTTTATTTGTTTTTGTCTTTTTCAAGACAGGGTTTCTCTATGTAGCTTTGGCTGTCTTGAAACTCACTCTGTAGACCAGGCTGGCCTCAAACTCACAGAGATCGCCTGCTTCTGCCTCCTGAGTTCTGGGATTAAAGGCGTGTGCCACCACCGCCCAGCTTTGATTTTCATCTTAAAGAGCCAATTTCTGATGCCTAATATCTAACCAGACAATAACCTATGAAGAAAACATGCAAGATAAACCACAATGCGTGATAATTTTGACAAGGATCATCAGGACAGGAAGGAAACAGATTACATGAAACTGTTATCTCAGAAGTTTGACAAACTAAGGACAGAGGATGAATTCAAATTTAAAAAAAAAATAACAAATTTATAAAGTATTTTTTAAAATAAAAACAAATGATTTGTAAGATAATATACATGTTTACATTTATTTAAATAGGGCATGCCCATATTATTTTTTTTAGCTGAGTAAACAAAAAAAAAAAAAAACTTAAAACAAGTAAATGTGTCAGTATAGCCAACTGACCCCAAATAGATTTTCAAGGTGTTAGATTTTCGTCGAATATCTTTCTCAAACACTGGAATTCATCAATTTAATCAACTGTCTTTCCCTTTGATGTTATGAGTCTAATGGTATTAAATATGTATTAATTGTTTTGTTTCTCGGTGGCACATGGCCCCTTGATTGATCACATATACACACAAGGGTTAATTGGACAGACAGCACAGATACACAAAGGGTAAGGTGGCTTACCTTTCCAGTCTGTGCTTTCCCCAACCATTCACATGAAGATGAGCTGCACTTTGCTGAAGCTAACCTATGACATCAACCCCGGGGCTGCTGTCAGTCATGAAAACAGTGGAAGTAGACAGAAAGAAAAGGTAATAATATGCCGTGTACAACGGAGGCAGTATTCACAATCCACCTTCCCCAAGTGCAACCCATCTCCCTGCCTGTGGCACACGTATTACTGTTTGAATTCTTGGCTCCCTCCCTGCTTTGCCAGTGTGAACTCAGGATTTCACTCTTGTATACATGTTGGATCTGGCCATGCAGCCTGCTCTGGCTGAATGAGTGTGGGCAACGTAATAGTGCACAGCTCTGTACACAATTGTTCACACCCATACCCATAGCTCTGGTAAAAGTAGAGTCTCGTGGCTAGTTTTGGTCAGAATCAGTGCTCTGTAGTGTCATGCCCCAACTCCCATTCTAGTGGTGGTAAATGATGAGATGGAATGGAACTACCAATGTGGGTAGAATTTTGAAGAAAAAAAATCTTGTTATTACATTCCAGGAGAAACATGAGCAAGGAGCAGCAGGTCCTCAGCACCATGAGATGGGATTATGTGAGGAGGAAGGTGTGTCTAAGTGGAAGAAGGCTGCTGGTAGGTCAGGAAGTAGGAAGGACTGGGGAGCAGGCTATAGCAGTTTGAGAATCTACCAGGGAAGGATCATAGCTATCAAATGAATGAAATGCTTGAATATCTAAAATGATATTTAACATCAAACTAAACAAAATAGGGTTCTACTTCACCTACCCACCCATGTTACAGCTGAGGAAACTAAATCCCAGGAGAATTTCTGTATTTCCAGAACACTTATTAGTAGCAGAGCTGGAATGACAATCCAGTCTCCTATGCTACGTAGAGAAGGACATTACTTATGGACACTCCACCAATAGGGATACTGAGGTAAGAGACGGAAGAGGGAGTGAGGAAGAGCACTGGCAGGGCTTTGATGGCTGAGCTTGATTCCTGGCTGCCTCTAATACTAACTGCTTAACCTTGAAGCTACCAAGCATCATCACTTCCTCACCAGTAAAGGTGGGATAACAGGGAGAAGCCTGGTAATGAACTAGACTCTAAATAATTTTCTCCCAGGAAATTTCCTAGGCTGTGGGTGTCTGGATTGCATGAGGGATGCAAATAAGTCCTTGCTTAAAGAAATATTACATGTAATGGAGGTACACTGAATATCACCATGTGCATGAAGAAGAACTTTGTATCAAAGAAGTTAAAGGGAGTAATTGAGCTCATAAGAATTGACGGCAGCACTCCGGTACTGTAGATCTCAAGTCTGTTCAGCCCCCCCCCAAAAAAGACAGAATTAATATTATTTGATGTAATTGCTCCAGGTTAGTGACTGATCAGCTCTGGTCTAAGCTCCTCAGGGGTCTTCACGGAGACACTAAGACATTTCTTCACTGAAGGTCAAATACATGATCCTTGAACCCAGTAAGGCTATTTATAGAAATAGCTTCCAATGAAATACTATTTTAAAGGGTTATATCAATATACACTGTGATAATAATTACATTAACCTTCTCATATGGTCTTTTCTTGGGAGGGATATAGATGCCAAATGAGAGGAAAATAGGACTGAAATAAGGAAACTCCCTTGTAAATATAGTCATGCTGAATATTTTAACAAGGATTGCACATTTCAAGTAGCACAAATGATGCTGAGAATGGGTAAAGACTAGGGGGAGAGGCATCTAGGTAAAAACTGGTGTAAAACGACTGAAAGATGTTTAGAAAGTTGTAGGAGT